CCGCAAAGGTGAATGAAGACTACAGTTTTTGCGACACTTATCCGAGCCTACTGGCAGTGCCGGTGGACGTGCCTGACGAGCTCCTCATCCAGAGTGCCCCTCATCGTGCCAATTTTCGTGTCCCTGCACTCAGCTGGCTGCATCCGGAGAGTCGAGCTAGCCTGACCCGCGCCAGTCAACCCATGGTGGGCCTGCACAATCGGCGAAACTCCGCCGATGAACAGTTGATTGAGCTGATCCGCAGGGCCAACGCCAACACCTCCGACCTCCTCATCCTCGATGCTCGTCCACAGGTGAGGTATTTGCGAACTAACAGCGTACAGCACATTAACCTCATTTGCACCACGTAATTTTCACCCGAACCAACTTTTACCTAAACAAACTTTTCTACTTAAATCAATAGAGTAGTAAGTCTGTAATCGTCTCTGTAATATATTGGATCCGGTTTCGAACGTTCGCGTTGTCCGTTAACGGGTGATCATCCAGGCGTCTCTTACATACGCGCACAGTGGAGGAGTGCACAACACACTTTAGCAAAGAGTTCCACTGTCGAATCACGATTTGTGCGCATAGTTGCTGAGAAAAGATACGTTTTATTTTGAAAATATAATTCCAAAATTTTCAGCAAAAAACGTCCTCCATTCACGGTGAATAAAATTAGGCACGCAGACCACATAACACCTGGGAGATTACAAGCAATTCGTAATTGCCGAAAACTGCAATTGCCAGGATCATGATTAATCGTTTTTAAATGAGTCGTAATATTTAGGCAAAGTCAGACTTCCTACAGAACGTGTTTTAATGACCTCATTGTCGTAGTACGATTAAAAACGAGGGGTAAAATCGGTTAAGGCTAGGCGTAATAGGCCAACCAATTTATATGCATAAAAAATTTACATACGAATGGAGAACAGCAAAAAATTATGGCTCACTTTCAAATCCCGCCAGAGAACGTGTTTTCCTACTTAGAAGAGGTGGTTTGGAAGTAGTTTCCGCATTATTAGAAGCCTTTTAAAATCGAATTATACGATTCTGTGGTATACAATTCAAATTTGCTATCAAATAAATACGAGAAATAATTAACTGAAAAATCGGCAATTCAAGGAGTATAATTCGGCAGAAGCACTTTGAGAAACGGTGGTTTATTGGGTGAATTTTCGACACAAAAAAGGAACTAGGTTGTTCCGATCAGGCGCCCAATCCAAGAGGTTGGTGAACACTTCCATTTATTAAGAACTTGTCTCAACTCGTCGAAAGACACAGGAGAAAGGATCAAATCTAAGTCGTGCACAAACCGACGAATACTCTGCGAACTCAGCTTGTACACCCTTAGGATAGGGTTGGCTATTTGGACAAAAAATAAATCATTTACAAGATCCCTTGTTTCGGCTGAAATGCAGTTTATTATGGATAGACGGGAAGATCAGCCTCCACACGAGCGGTAAGGGGAAAATATCGCTTGTCTGACGTCGCCATGCACACATTAGAAACTGCACACCAATTTGCATGGGACGAAACTTGCATTGTTGGCTCCTGTCTATACAAAAAAGGTCGCGAGTTTTTAGAAACCATCAACTCCGACGACTCGTGCATTAACAGGTACGTCGAATTGGACGCGATGTACACTAACTTCAGGTAAGCACGGAAGAGACAGCATCCTGTCCGGACTTGGGGAAGCAAAGACCAGCCACCACCGACCGTACAATTAAATACGGTTGACCATCAGTTCCCGACCGACCGCATAATCACATGCGGGTGATGATTATGAACTATTACCCCGACCCACTATATAAACCGTTGTTAGCCATCATTTTGGATTAACTGTTTCGTACAATTCCCATCCGTCTGACGATGAACCGGTGAACCAGTGTCGAATATTCGCCCAGTAAACCACCTTTTCCCAAGGTACTTCTTCTACCGAAAGAGAAATAATCTTTTATTGATTGCGCGCTCCTGAATCTTCAGACTTAATCTGATAATTCAGGCGTTATGCAGAACCAGGTTCTTTGATTTGACTGCCTATGATTACTTAGTTTCGGGTGTCACTTGAACCCCAAATGAATCCAATTTTCCCTGCTTATTGTCAGTGCAACATCACCTGCTCTCTCTCTTCTCCCTACACAGAGGGTTGCCCTCGCGAATGTGGCTAAAGGCGGCGGTGTTGAGAACATTTCCTACTACCGGGACATCACTTGCAAATTTATGGGCATCCAGAACATCCACGCGATGCGCGCCTCCCAGACCAAGTTCATGGAGGCCTGCTTTTCGCAGTC